CGTCGTCGTGCTACATCATCCGTCACCCAGCAAATGAGCAGTGAGAGCCAGGAAAGTCCAACCATGGGAAGCAAAAAGAAGAAGCCCTCGAAGGAGTCGAGCCACAAGGATGGCACAAAAGGAGGAGGAGGAAAGGGAGGTAAAAAGACGACCAAAGAGAAGTCCAAGACAGTGATGAAGCCCGAAGAAAGTCAGCAAAACACTGGTGGTCGTCGTTCTCCACAAAATTACTACCAGTATGGAGATCGCCAGCAAAACATCCCTCTACCTCCATCACCACAGCCTTCGGCAGCTTTTATGGCCCCGCCATTTGCAATGGGCATGCAACCACAGCAGAATATGCCGCCCTTTGTTGGAGGTGGTGGAGGTGGTGGTTCTCCCTACTACCCTCAGCCGCCGTACCAGGCACATCCACAAGCTGCACTCTCACTACCTCAAGGCACCGAGTACCAGATGATGCTGCATCACCTGGTGACCACACTGCAGGAGGACATTCGCCAGTTGAACTACCGCGTAAAGCGTCTGGAGGACCTGAGCATGGCGGCTGGGGCAAATCTGGGGACTTCCACTCTTGGCGGAGGTGCTCAGCTTCAGCAGCAGCCGCCGCAACAGCAACAGCAACAACAGCCAGCTCAGCCCTCGACACCGGCTGACAACAACAAGGGAATGGAGGTGATTGTGAAGATGCTGCAGGAGATACGCTCCACTCAGCAGTTGTCGCCGGCGCCGGTGGCGGGCAAGACGGGGGATGCAACTCCACCACCGCCGCCGCCGCCTCGGCAGCCATCACCTATCACGAATTCAAAGGAGAACATCGCCGATGGAGGAGGAGGAGAAGGTAATCAGCAGCAACAACAGCCGGCGACGGAGGCGGTGGCCAAAGCACCAGCGGGAAAGGCAAACACCGAGAACGCGAAGAAGAAGGCCCGCACTGCTGATCTGATCGTCGAGGTGGCTCGTATGATCAAAGAGGAGAAGAAGACACAGCCGCCACCACCACCACCGCCGCCTAAAGCACTTCCTCCAAAGGAGTCCAACAGCGGCAACAAGAAGGCCGCTCCTCCGGAGACGTTCGCCGCCAAAGTGGACCGGATTCGAGCTAAGAAGAAGAAGTGATCCACCAAGGACTGGAAGGGTGGAATCCTCATCTTCCATTCTTTCTTCTCTGTCAGCTTTTTTGGTCGACTATTTTCAAAACTATGTTTGCTGCAATGTTTTCTTTTTCTTCATGCTATTACAAGTTTATAAATGGTAAAAACGTTTTAATGAGTATGTTGCTCTAACTTGACCAATGTTTTTTCGAGCTAGCTGAGGAGAGAGGACATTTTTAAATTTAAG